TTTTTTTGAGAATATTTTGTTTTTAGTACATTTTGTTTTGTTTTTAGTGTATTTTGTTTGGAAGTCGGTTTTGTTCCGATGAAACACATTGAAATCAACGCCCTCGGGGTTTGAATATAAAATATCTGTTCTCGAAAAGGTAAAAGTTAATCACTTTTATAAACTTTCAAATCGAATTGATCCTCCAAGAGGATACATCCGTGAACTTTTCGTTGACAAAACTTCGTCGATGCATGGATAAATAAAAGTTTATGTTACACTAATTTACTCTCAAACGGATAGGAATAATTTAAAGTACGTCAAAGACTTGTTTGTCATCTTAACTTTTGTGTTTTATATAGATTGAATAATGTTTCATTTTAAATAATATACAGTTTTATAAACCTTAAATCAGAAATCCTAAGGCCAAATACTAGCATAAATAAATCTAAAATGTGTACTACTAGCTTTCTCCCGCGACTCCGTCTGCGTGGAATTAAAAAAAACAAAAGTGAGCCTATGTATTCTTCCAGACTAAGTACGTTTATGCTAAATTTCATCGAGATTCGTTCAGCCGTTTAGTCTACAAACTCTAACAAACATCCATCCATATAAACTTTCGCATTTATAATATTACGTTCCGTTAAAATTTATCTCTTATGCCTATGATGTTTGTACAATCGGGAAATATTGAGGTTATCCACAGTAAAAGTAACAATACTTTGTACGTTTTGAACGCATTGTCACAAGGCTGTTCTGTCAGTGAAACATATTCACAGTTGTTTCTGCATATACGAGGAGAAACTCCTAACTAAATAAAGGCAACCAAGAAATATTTCGATCAAAAATCCTACGTCACCAACCCAAGCAGAATTAATATAGGACTGTGGGACATCAGCAAACGTATTACGATGATAGGAAGGATCCCAAGAGTCGTGAGTGGTTTAATCAAGGCGACAGGTGGCGCTGGTTGTCATTTTATTACGGTATTATTTGCCTATTTATTTCAACCCGTGACCCGTGCGGTATGAGGGATATTAAAACGTTTGCCTCGTTCGCCTGTAGAGGGCGCATTGATGCGTAGATTCATATTTGTAGTGTAAGTGAAGATACTTTTATTATTTACTTTTAAATAATTGTAGAAATCGAAAATTTGTAGTAACATTTCAATACTAGCTTCGTTATCAACTTCGTCCGCGTGGAATTAAAAATAAAAGTAAATAACCGATGTATTCTTCCAGTATGTCCTCTACATATCTACCAAATTTCATACAAATCTGTTCAGCCGTTTAGGCTACAAACTAACAAACATCCATCTATTTAAACTTTCGCATTTATAATATTAGTATGATAACAATGCCTGCAGGGCACTTTTTGGGCTGCCGCGCTACTGCAGCGCCTCAGGGATGTTTGCGGAGGACGACTTTGCCGCGATCCGACGCAAGCGCATAGCATCCTTGATGGCGCGGGTTCGCGGCAGCAACACTATCCTGAAGGTGGTGGGGAGCCGCATTGACAGCCCAGTCTATAAGTACTGGGTATATACACACTAATATAATTGTAAGCATTCCAATTTATATGTACAATAGTTACTTAGACTTAATAAATTTACTAACAAAAGAATGGATGTATATCTATAAAAAGTATATTAAAAAAGAAATATTTGCTCAGTTTTATTGCTAAGTTTAACTTTATACGGTGTTTATTTGTAAGGCTGTTCTTTATTTGTAAGAATAAATAAAATCGGAAAATTCACGGTATGAAAAGCTAGCCGCTTTCGACTGTTTAACTGTTACGGGCTTTATGTAAAAAGGTAAAAATTTTATAAGGAATTTTGATTAAATAAATAATAATTATATGCATGTTACAAGGAGAACGTTAGTTATGAGTGTGTGTACATCGGTAGAGGTAGACCTAGAAAGAGGATGGATTGTGTAAAAGGTGACATGATCAAAAAGGGAGTGATGACTGAGATGACGTATGATAGAGTTATGTGGAGGACAAAAACC